CGGCCATGTTTTCAAACATATTTTGTTGAATACGTAGGTGTTCAAGGACGTGTATGCATTTTAAGTTTAAATAAATTACAACTGACGAATTCCATCCAATTGCAGACAATTAGAATCAAGATCCTGTGTAAAAGCAACGTGTCAATCAGAGTACAGGACACCAGCACAGTCTGTAAATGAAAAACAAATTCCATTTTAGATCAAAGGCAAGTTTCTCGAGTTCTTTTACTTAAAAAAATAGAGCAGTTTTTTAAATGTCTCATCATCAGTCGTGATCAATCCACAGATGGATGGAAGATCTTCCCAAGCCACGACCATCGTTCACACTCGTACGATGGCACAATTCTACACGGCTCCACACGCACGAGCTGAGCTCATGGCTCAATCTCTGTGGTTGAAGTTCTCTGCGGGTGTGTTTCCTCCTTTTTGGCTGCCACTCTGTTGTTCGTATTGACCATGATCACTATCCGTAAAGGCAGGGCATCCTGCCCCAAGCTCCCTTGTCGTCATTAACAGTCGATATGTCAAGAACGTGTTCTCCTATTCGTGTGTTGCTCTTCCTGGCTCTCGTTGTAATCCAGCAATTAAACTCCCCCACGCTTCTTTCTGCTCTTTGCAGGTCCAAATGTCACGTGTCATATTGATTTGAGTAACAAGGGTAATTTCTTCTCCTTATTAGATGAATCTCGTGGTTAACGTTAACTTCACACCGATTTGAACTTGATTGATCCACAGCTCATGCCTGATCCTGATCTGCCAGTCAAACTCAACATACATTGTCTCAAGAAGGATAATCCATATCAAGACAGGCAGGCTGGGACTTAATTAAAATAATTTGCAACACAGTCGTGAAAAATGCACTATTTTCAAGTGACGGCTTCTTTATTTTAAGTAGAGGATTCTGAAATTGTTGGAAAGCATACCTTCATATATCCATACTGTGCAGGGACTCCTCTACGTACGAACAAGTTAGGTTCCAGGGGTCTGTTTGTAAGTCGATTTGTTCGTAAATCCAACTTTACTGTTGTCGATTCCAAACATGTTGTACGGGGAATGGCTTTAATAGTTGCATACTCTCCTGGAGATGTAAATGCCACTGATTCTTCATGCTCTGCAGATGTAGATGCCACCACCGCCATCTATTGCGCGGCGGTTGAACTTATGACTCTCAGTCCGAACAGGCAACTGGACATACGGACAGATTTGTTCACATCTCTGAAAGTTTGTAAGTCGAATATTGTTAAGTAGCGGAGTCCCTGTATAGCTGAATCAGCTCAAGCTTCCCGCAAATCATGTGACCTTCTGTGTGGCCACTCCCACTCTGAATCCCTCCCCTCTCTCCACCCCCTATGGAAACAAACACTTTGTCAGGTCTCTTATGGAGCCTCTTCCTCCCTATCCCGATTTTTCCTGATCCTGTGGTGCAATTTTTACATTACTTTTCCATTCTTTTCAACTCATTTAATGATCTTCTTTCTTCCCTTTCCAATTCCCTTTTTTCATACATTATGGCATTGATTCTCCTCCCCTTCCAATGGCATGCCACCGGTACAAAGTTGCAAGCTGATGTCTATGTTCTTTGCTAGCAAGCATTGTTCAAACTTTACTTGTGAAATTTAGGATAGAGCGTCTTCATCTAAAAATAACTTTGTTGTCATTTGCAATTTATTTATTTTCATTTGTCACCTCACATGTAAATATTTCACATTTTGAAAACACGTATTGGTACTATTTCTAAAAACATAATACAACAAATAAACAGCTTTGTCCATCAACTGCTGAATAAAAGCGGTCTCACCGTGACCACGTGGGTGAGTGCAGCATTTTCTATTTATTGTTATTAGTCTGCTGAGCTGAACGTTAAAGAGGAAGTTGAGAAGTCGACTTCGATCGAACGGTCAGTCAGGCCCCGGCAGATTGTGGCGCAGTTCGTATGCTTCCTCCCAAAGGAAACAGACTGTGAGACCACCTGCAGAGAACAACATGTTCACTTCCACATTCGGCCACTTGTAAATGTTAACTGTTGTGTGATTCATCTTCTTGGTTCTATCGGTAAAGTCACGTAGAAGGGAAATAATAAAATAATAAAAATAAAACATAATAAAATAGTTCTCACGACGTTTCGGCCACAACGCAAGCAGTCGTCCTCAGGTGCTTAATATACATTATTATTATTATTTCAGATTAACAACTCGAATAGTGATATTGCCATAGCAATATCACTATTTAATGGTGGTTAGAGTATTAAAAGTACGTGCGGGCAGTTACTGTGCACATAGACTGAGCTCTACATTGAAGGTAATATTATTTGTAAAACGTTTTTGGATCTATCAGAAAAACATGTTTTAACATTCCTCGTAGTATAACAATGGGCTAACATAATACAGAATCACAAGATCCCTGAAAAGCAATGATTTCAAGGCAATATTTTTTGACATATACTGTTTCGGTAAAAATGATCAAAATATGTCCTAATTGCAAGCCTCATCTCTTTAATGCAAACCCCCCTTGAATTATTTTTTCCATCTTATAATGATCATGTTTGTTCCATATTGTTTGTTCCATATTGAGTTTAATAATTTAATGACTACATATCTTATAAATGCCCCTAATATATGCAAACCCCATACTTATACAACAATGCAATGCTAAGATATATCTATGGGGAAAAACACTGCATTTTGGGAAGGTTTAGGATGGACAACAAATATTCCGATTGTTCAACCACATTAAATTCACATTGACATATCGTACCTCGTACATATATACAGTAAATACAAGGCACATACACGTGTATGGTAGTCTGTATGCATATGAAACCAAGATGCATAACTATGATTACGTGAATCAACACTTTATAATGCCACGAAATGGAAAGCAAATATAATACATTACCGTTTTCTCCAACTGAGGGTATACATAGAGAGGGCATTACGTGAAAAAAGAACCATGGACATGCAAATATTACTCTTAAATAAACAACTAATGTACTATGCATCTATCTAGTTCCCTTTAGACCGTGTTGTTCACGTTTTTTTGACTAAAAAGCACATTGTTGGTCAAACAAGAAATAGTAGCATGTTTTATAAATACTGTACTTAAAAATGTAAAATTGATGTCAAAGTTATGTTTAATATTTTGTTTTGCAACTGTCATCTGCTATTGCCAATTATGTTTGAATAGGTTGCTGATCGTCTTTACTTAATATTGTTGCAAGCGATCATATGCCACAAACCCGCACGCATTTGAAAGACGTTCACTCAAACTCTTGACGGAAAGGCAAACCTACTTGCTGTTGAAGGTAGGAATCCACAAATTAGGGATCGTACTAAAAGCGACTCACATTCCTCCGTAATCCATTTATAAAACATGATCTGGCCAGGTGTCTTGAGTGAAAATCCCGGTCATTACTCAACAATTTTGTGGGGAGTGAAACGAAGTTTGCCCAAGTTAAGGACTGGTTCCTGTTCAAGCAATGTGGATTTTATTTTATTATGTTTTATTTTTATTATTTTATTACTTCCCTTCTACGTGACTTTACCGAAAGAACCAAGAAGATTTCACTTCTGTTTCAGGACTCGAAGTGGAGTTGAGTACTTTCCATTTCTTGTATGTCATATTTAAACACAGTTTTAGCATGTTATATGTAAGGTTGAGGTGCAAGCATTTTTTTGCAGTTGTTTAAAACATTTACATTTTCAGCTGGAAACGTTTTAACCAAAAAATATCGCGAGAGAACACTGCATTAAAAAAAATGACGACTAACGTCATACCTAGACAATACATTTTACGATAGAGCATCTGGTTGCCAGGCATACTGTGTTGCTCCATTCTGCCTGTGAAGGAGAGGTTAATTGTCTGTGCACCCGTTAGACCTCAGTGCTGAGCAGACGCAAAGGCAGCAGGTCCCGTAACGATGAGAGCATCTCGGCATAGAGCTGCTTGAATCTTCACATCCTTCAGATGTTGCGGTGAACGTGAACGCCGTGGCTACATCCGTGCTCTTCATTAGCAGCTACCCATGGTTCATAGGGGGTGCACCCAGAGATGCTTTTGGTGGAACAAGAATCACTTTACAATTCTGTGCAATCGTGATCGACGGGCAAAATGATTTTTTAAAAGTGAAAATATGTGAGCCCGATACTTGTAGCAGCTGTGGTTTTACATCATCTTGCCTCGGAACTCTGAAGTATCTCACAATATAGCTTATAACTGTGAGCTAATACTTTAACCACGTTTTCTGCACTGAGCGACATGATCGGGCTTTTGTTAGCATGGCATCCAAGCTATAGAATGCCTTGCCACTTGAAATCAGGAAATCAGAGTCGGTAGAGTTATTTAAGTCTACTTTGATAACCGATCTCTTTAAAGTGGCCTTCCCTCTTCAGTTTGGTCAGTTTCCCTGGTTATGTTTTTGTTTCCTGCTTTCTATGCATTGCACATTGGGATCCTAAGATGGAATACGCATTATACATGTGCATATTTTATTTTTATTTAAACGCAATAGAAATAACCACATATCATGCAGCTCGAGTGCGTCAAGACATTAGTTTTAATTGAAATTGGAAACAAGTCAACATTTGAACATGTAACATACAGTCATCAAAGTTGATCTGAAACATCGGTACCATTTAGAATACAGGATTGTGCTTGTTTAACACACGGGCTGTCCCAAACAAATCGACACCCTGTCACGTGACTTAACAGATCGATTGTCACGCTGCATTCTGGCAAAGGCTCATATAATGAGACCAAGATTGGACCATGACCAAAACGCCAAAAAAATGTTACATTTTTAAATACAGTACTGGAAAAGTCATTGTAACTGGATAAAAACATAGTGGTGTACAATGACCGACTACAACACCAGATTTGACTGCATTGCTATTAAGCACCTCCGTTTGGCACGGTTGGCTACGTACCGTCCAAAATAAGTGCAACATACATGCATGCAAAGCAAATTATCCAAACTGGCAATCAGTTCTTGTTTAAGTCCGATCCTAAACCTGTGTTTCTTGGAATAAAAAAGACGTTTTCATACGTTTGTAAAAGTATTCAGAGTTTATCACGTTGTTGTTGATGGGAAGTCTTGGTTCTCCAAAGACCTGCAGGAAGGGATTGGATTCGTCTAAATTTATGCGAGTGACATCATCCTGGGGAGGTGTATCGTGGATGGGATCGGTGCTGGTCATGTCCCCATTCATCAAAATAACAGGAGCAGCTAAGGGCTCCAATTCCTGTCTTGCCACGGCATCCTGATGTCTCGTATCTTCTTTTCGCCTCTTTCTGTGGATATACAATGATACGGAAGGTTGATCAACACCACTATCGTACGTACATACAGTGCAAGTGAATAAATCGCGCACACTGAATTTGGCACGTGAATATAGCCTTGCAATTAGTTGTGCTTACAAACGGAACGTGCAATGTCGTGTACATTAACCAAGCAGTAAACATGTAATACATGAATTAAATGTTCATGATAAAAGTTATTTTGGGGTTAAATCGCGTCAAGATAAATGTGTCGTGAACCCACCACCGCCTGACACAGTCATCTAGTAAGGTTTGTCATGTAAACAAAACACACGACAGTTAGTTACTAGTTCAGCACACCGGTGTGTTGGAGAGCAAACTCGGCAACGTTTACAATTTTTGACGTTGGGCTGGTGATTACAATCAGCTTGATCAGGTGAATTGTGCTGGAATTGAAGTCCAACTTTAATGGTATAGTATCTATATATTGTTTTACAAATGTACAAGAATATAATTGTGAATATTTTTACCTGCTTTTCAACAACCCAAAAAATTAATTTCGATTTAAAGCTTTCGTGACTGCAGGGATTCATCTTCTTGGTTCTTTCGGTAAAGTCACGTAGAAGGGAAGTAATAAAATAATAAAAATAAAACATAATAAAATAAAATAATTCTCACGACGTTTCGGCTACAACGCAAGCAGCCGTCTTCAGGTGAAGAATGAGACACTACCAAGCTAGGAACTTATATATAAGCTGCGTTGGAGGTGGAAGAGCGCCTGCACATTCTTTTTGTTAAGGCGCTCTTCCACCTCCAACGCAGCTTATATATAAGCTCCTAGCTTGGTAGTGTCTCATTCTTCACCTGAAGACGGCTGCTTGTTGTAGCCGAAACGTCGTGAGAATTATTTTATTTTATTATGTTTTATTTTTATTATTTTATTACTTCCCTTCTACGTGACTTTACCGAAAGAACCAAGAAGATGAACCCAAAAAATAATTATTAATTACACTTTTTGAGTACCATGTGTGCGTCAATTATGAACACAAATACAATAATTTATACACCAATGATAAATCTTGAAATGTACTCACTTTAAGTACACGAAGGCAGTGACAGTTAATGTGGCCAGAGCAAGGCAGGCTGAACACAGAACAATACAAAATAAGCTTATCATGCTTGTCCCACCATGCAGATAGACTTTTTTCAGAGCATCTGAGAAATAAATTCAAGCACGTGTAATTGCTCAACGTCACAAACATCACATTTGTTTAACCAGAATACACGAACAGTCATTTATGGTAATAACTTAAAAATAACAATTCATACGATTCATAGCCATCATCTTTTATACCACCCTTGGTGGGAAATATCATTGTGAGAAGTCAGCAGTGGTCATACTCTTACAGACTGATCACTGCCATAGTAATGTGTAATTTCCGCAATTGGCTCAGAGCTGTGCATAGAGACGAGCACTGTACCATATTGATTTCAGAAGTAAAACGCTTATCATGTTTGTATGCGCACGGTTAGAACAAGTTTGCGCTTTCCTACCTGGATATTGTGTCGGCTCAGACTCCACTGAGCTCTCTATATAAATTGTTGTGCTTGCCGCATTGTTAAATTTCTGTACATATAAAAAAAACTGGATTAAAAGAAGAAATGCCATTAGCTGTTACATCACAGTAGGTGTATTCATACATGTCAACCCATACGGTTTAGCCGTTTTCTTGTACAGGGAAATTGAGTTTTCATGTCCATACGGCGTACAGCCGTTTCAATACGGGCAACAAAAGTGTGTTTTATCTATTTGTTTGTTTCTCCATTGCGATGGGACTTTGTAGGATGAACGTTGAGGTTTATCAGGGGCACGGGGTGACCAATAAGGTCTGGATTGGTCTGTAATAAGGTAGGGGCACTGATACGGGGTTGACAGGTGTGTTTATTACACCGTTGTATTTTTTGTCAGAAACACTATGGTCATAATACTGTGAATACGCTCATTATATTCTACGCTTTAACGGGAACAGCAGTCAACATTAGTTGTGTATTTAACGATTATTGTTGATCTTTCAAGATTGATACAGCCGATATTTAATCAATATCTCACGACTGTGTATGTTTGTTGGCAATGTTGGCAAAATTGATCGTAAGCTTTGGCATATTACAAGGTTTTTTTAAAGCAATAGTATTGGTCAGGGTGGTTAATGATAACCTGACCGTACAGTACCTGCAAATACTTTCAAGTCAACCAGGAATTGGAAAACCGCATTATGAGGATGTGGAGGTGAGATTTGTAACTTTAATGAACCACAGAACTACTTAATATTTAGTTTCACCTTAGGAATGTCCACTTTGGATTCATCTTCTGCAAAAAAAATATAAACATTGTTTTAAAGTGCTTGAAGTTGCAGATGTAACCCACAAATGTGTGGTATACATGTCGTGAATTAAAATAACACGTATGTAATTTTCAACAATCGTATAATATGATGGTAACTTTGGATGTCAAGTACTTAAAATGCACCTTCGATTTTGATCAAGGACAAGAGGTCGTGACAGGGAGCTTGGACAATTATTTGATGGGAGTATTTTTTCTCAATTAAAACATTGTATCGACTCTAGATTTGAAGCTTTCGTGACTGCAAGGATTCATATTCTTAGGTTTTTTCGGTAAAGTCACGTAGGTAAAACATTAAAATTAATAAAAGTAAAATAAAATAAAAAATCACGACGTTTCGGAGGCAACACAAGCTTCCGTCTTCAGGTGGAACCGTCAATGCCACGACAGCTGTATCATTAACTTGATACAGCTGTTGTGTTGCCTCCGAAACGTCGTGATTTTTTATTTTATTTTACTTTTATTAATTGTAATGTTTTACCTACGTGACTTTACCGAAAAAACCTAAGAATATGAATATTGTATCGACCGTTACTCAGGACCCCAACATGTTTTACTCCCTAAAGGCGGAAAATCCCAGACAAGTCATGGGCTGCGTTACACAGCAGCAGATGCCGATGGCGTCACCCAGCTCTGCCTATCACCTCCCGCCCATTGGCATGCGTTGGAAACAGAGATTAGACTTTAAAACAACGTACATTATCCAATCAGTCGAGTAAATGAACCAAACATCGTTAGAATATCGATTACTGAAATCCACGTATTCGCAATACATTGCACAGAGATGTTTTTTGTACATGCACTATTTGTGACCATCTTCTTGGTTCTTTCGGTAAAGTCACGTAGAAGGGAAATAATAAAATAATAACAATTAAACATAAAAATAAACATATTATTTCCCTTCTACGTGACTTTACCGAAAGAACCAAGAAGATGAATCCCTGCAGTCACGAAAGCTTTCAAATCGAAATTTATTTGTGACCAGTTGATTCACCTTCCTACGACCAAATCCACGTCAATATTCTACGAACTTATTTGTGAAACTCTCAGCTGACAAAGAGAATAATAATGAATGCGTGTAAGGTATTTTTTTTTTACGATTTACTCCACGCAGAGTCAAACACACCGTTTGATGTGTTTACGTAAGTCGGTGAACTCCAGTCACTCCATCTTCCATAATCGAGGAAATCCTTGGCGCGCACGCGTATCACGCGCGAGGTGCCAGGATGGGAATCAAGGATTTTGAACACCCATACATTTTCGCGAGACGTGGCGATCTTGATCTTCGATTTATCAGGATACTATAACAAACAGTCAGACACAAGCGCACACACACACACATGTAACAATTTGGGATATTGTACATACTGTGTTACGGCCAAAGTGAAAAAGTCAACGTGTGGTTTTGCTCAAATTGGCAATGGGATGGCAACCCTTCACGTTGGCAGCAAATCTCTGGGGTCAGCATGATGACCACCGTGCAATATGTTTTTTTTTTGTATCAAAGTAGGGCCCTTGTGCAATACATGTTGAGCAAATCGTTGGCGAGTAAGAGGCGATTCTTTCGTATTTGACGTTAAACAACAGGAGAACCACGAATGTGAACAGCGAAGGGAAGGCTAGATTTGAAGCTTTCGTGACTGCAAGGATTCATGCTCTTAATTTTTATCGATAAAGTCACGTAGGTAAAAAAATGAAATTAAAATTAATTAAAAAATAAAATAATACAGCAAATCTGGCTGTGACGGTCCCACCTGATGACGGAAACTTGTGTTGCCTCCGAAACGTCGTGTTTTTTTATTATTTTATTTTTATTAATTTGAATTAACTTTTTATACCTACGTGACTTTATCGAAAAAACTAAGAGTATGAAGGGAAGGCTGTTCCTGAAGCGAGGTGAACAATGAAGTGACCTTCATTTGTGCAAACACTCAGCATCGCAATCGTGGAGCATTCTGGTGAATGCCCCCCTCAACCATGCCCCCCTCAACAATTATATATACGGAGTGGTATCTCTTGTAATCCCTCATTTACTTGATACAGCTGTCGGGCTGTGACGGTTCCACCTGAAGACGGAAGCTTGTGTTGCCTCCGAAACGTCGTGATTTTTATTTTTTATTTTACTTTTATTAATTTTAATTATTTACCTACGTGACTTTACCGAAAAAACCTAAGAATAGGCATAAGTACAATGAATTCCATTCTGTACCTTCACAGGAAAATAAAATCAATTTAGTATATTGTCTTTTCGGCCCTTCTAGACTTGTATTAACTCATAGCATCTGTTCAAGCAACACACTCTGGACCTGTTTTGACACTATTGGTCTCATCAGCATTGTTCATGTTTGTTCAATCAATACTGCCCGTTTATCATATAAATGTATCATAAGTTATTGTTCAGAGCACTCCTTCTAAACAATAGGGCCCGAACAGCACAAAAAACTCATGATGTGCTGTATTGCAGCATTATGGGTAATGAACATAAGCAAATCCATGAAAAAATATTTTATTCTGAAGTGATAAGTGGGTTGAATAAAGATAGTTATGACAATTATTATTTTTCTATCTACGTGATTTCACCAAAAGACCCAAAGAGTATGAATCACTGCAGCCACGAAAGCTTTAAGTCAAGATGTATAGTCACGTGGAAGGGAAATAATAAAAGAATACAAATAAAACATGTTTAATCATAATTTTTATTATTTTATTATTTCCCTTCTACGTGACTTTACCGAAAGAACCAAGAAGATGAATCCCTGCAGTCACGAAAGCTTTCAATCGAAATTCAAGATTTATAGTTATGAATATATAATGCATAAGTGCAACAAGACGTTAAAACGGGAAAGTGTTTACCTGTCTGTAATTTTTCTCTTCCATTGATTTGTACTCCAGCTCAGCTGTGAGCGTGAACCCCTTGTTTGCGTGGTGCCACGTGCTTGGATACGAGCAGATCACCCATACATGCTTCTGGCGTCCCTGGCCTGGAATTACTTTTAGAATGATGGGTGGGTCTGGTTTCACTAAACAAATGAAGAAATAACAAAACGTCGATCCTAATTACCACTTGCTTCAATCAACGGTTTCATCACAACGCAAGTGATTAATATAAAGTATAGGTTTTTACCCTTTCAACTGGTACAAAAACTGACACCTTTATACAAGGCATCAATATTAATATAACTCGAACGTCTTAATTACAATTACATCGTTGCTCATGCCATTAACTGCTAATGTTAATATCGTTATGAGCATGATATTGTTGGTTACGTTAACAACACAGTTATTGCTTAATATTTCGTCCGTTTGTCATTTTCCATGGCTCACCAAGTCCTGTATTTTAGTGTTCAAAATAATAATATTTTCATTTGATACTCGGTCGTTCAAAGTTAACTAATTACTTAACATTTAACTTGTTTGCAGGCCAATATGCAGACCTACGCAATGTTTTGCAGACCCATTTCCATTGGTCATGTTACAACCGAAAATAAATGAATGGTTGTTCTTACGGATTGACTTCAGGGAAAACTTTGCAGTTTCACTTCCTTCACATCCAAGTGCATTTTTAGCAACCACAGTCACGGCGTAGGGATACGGTTCGTTGTATTTGCCGGCAAAGGAACATTCATTTCGGCGGCGCTTTGGGATGCATTTGATATCGGCGTCCCTAAACAAGAAAACAATGTTTACAACGCAGCCATTCTACAGGGTGCTTCAAAAAGATATTAACACTTCTGAAAATTTGCAACAAAACCGCAAGAAATGTGCCTTTGGGACCACTTGGAGAAGATTCCAGGCACGTGTTGACAATGATTGCGAACAAGTGCAGACTCTGACTTTTTTTAGGCTATTCACATACATTTATTATCATGTTATAGTCTATCATCCGTTCTTTTTCCATTAAAAACGATAGCCCCATAAAAAAATGTGTGAAGCACCCTGTATACTTTTAAACAAAACTTGCAACCCACGCATCCTTTGGACATGACTCTCCGTCCGTCCCAGCCAGCCAGCCAGCAAAACTTGTAATCTTATACAGAGCCCTGTCTCTCTCCACCTTTCTCTTTCTATCTCTGTACGGTATATCTCAATTTATCTCAATGTCTCGCGTTATCTCTGTTTTGATAAAAAAAAATATTCCCCCTCTGCTACCTCTCCTTTCTATATACATCTTCTCCTTCCACTGTAACTCACTCACTTCCCTCCCCCCACCCTACCTCTATTTTTTTACGATCAGTGGAAAGAAGAAGATGCTCGGTGTAGTCGGCACTTTGCTTCTCTCATCATTTCGTAATATATATTTTAATAACTTTGCTTTATGTAAACCCCCACCTCTCGCTCACTCTCTCGCTCACTCGCTCGCTCTCTATCTCTCGCTCACTCTCTCACTCTCTCTCGTTCTGCACGCAGCCTTTCTCGCAGTCCGACGGCCTCCGACGGGTAGCTCATCTCTCTCACCTCTCGCTCTCCTCATTCCCACCTCTCCCTTTCCCACCTCAATCTCTCTTGCCTCTCTCCATTCCTCCCTCCCCCTCCTTGTCGCTTTCCCTTTTCTCTCCTCTTTCCGTTTTGCTCTCTTTCTTGCCCTTTCACGCCGCTGTACTCTCTCTCTCTCTCCCCGCCCCTCCCCTCTCCATTCCTCGACGTCTCTTCCCCCCTCTGCTACCTGTCACCCTCAACCTGGGTGGGGGATGGGGGGAGGGGGGGAGGCGTGACGTCAGTGCGCACGAACCCAGTCCAACGCTGTGGGATGCACATGACGTCATCACGCGGATGTGCGCGTAGACGTCACTACCGCGCACACGCACTTGCATGCCAGCCAGGCAGGAATCCAGTCAGTAATCTAATACTGTATAGAATATCATTCGCTATGTTTTTGTTTTGTTCAACGAGAAAGCACGTAACATTCTTGTTCAAATATCACTTCACTTGCAATATTGGCTCACTTGGTAGTCGTGACCTTCCTGCTTGAGTGTGTTGCCTGGATTTGGTCGATGCTGTTTGCAAATCGTCTCTACTTAACGAAGTGAACATGTGTAGTGACATAGCCCCGACTGCTGTCCAGCAGTGGCAACTGCGGTGGACAGTTCGCGCACACGCCGTCGAACACGGTGTGTGTGCCGGCAGGGCGGAGGAACTGGGGCAAGGGTCACGGAAGATCTCATCTGGAAGCACCTGGAACCCGCTAGTGGGTTCGAGAAGGGAGGCGCGGCCAGGGCGGAGCCAGGCCGCGCCGGGCAGAATAAAAGCAGCGGAGAGCGCGAGCTCCGGGCTGCCGGGTTCTGTGAGTGGACTCGTCTCGTCGTCGCTGTCGTCTTCACTAGACCATTGCGCGTCCGGATAGTTGTTGGCTGTCTCGGTCGACGCCGTCAGTGTAACACGGTCAGAGTTGCATCTAGGCTAGGCTATACGACATCGGAAGGAACCTGTGAACCTAAAGAGTGTCAATAAAGAAGGTTCCTCCTGCAACTACCTCGTCTCTGACTTGTGCTACACTACTCATGCACTACTGGACCAACCTGAACACAGCTGCTTTGCCTTGTTGTTATGCACTTCACGCGCTCGAGAGTAACATTCCCCCCAAGCAAGACATTATTATACAGAAGTCTAAATAACGTGGGAAAGTTATGCTGCAGATACTCTAATAAGTATAACCCGTAAAAACAAAGTTTTTCACTATAAATCCTTTATATGCGTGGCAGCGAACTTAATATAAAGGATTTAAAAATATATTCGCCTGTGGAGGACGCGGGGATCGATCCCGCGACCTTTGGCATGGGAAGCGAGGGCGCTACCAACTGCGCTACTCCGCCACGACCTGTGGAGGGGTTACGCTCTGGGCTCTTATACTGTGACGTTCAGCCAAAGCCATGAATGCGTTCTATTTGAATATATGTAAAATAATTGTTTTTTGCCTAAGAAGTGTAAAATTTTGGGAATTTTTTTTCACGAACAATAATTGTCTGGCACAACGAGTCTGTGTGGAAAATGTCAGCTCGATTGGATCACGGGAAGTGGGTTAAAAAACGACCGAAAGATTTGCACGGTCCTAAGCAAGCAAGCAAGCACGCAAGCAAGCAAGCAAGCACGCGAACTTAATATAAAGGATTTAAAAAGAAAACATATTGCTCTGTCTTTGTCTACCTATCGCCAGCAATAACTGCAATGGGGTCATTCGTGTTGCACAATTATTTAATTCCCAACACTGAGGTGACAAAAAACCTGGAGATATCAAAGGAAGAACAATACTGCACTGCATCTCACAAGTTCCTGATAGAGGGGAGATCTACAGTGAATGTACAGCATTAACTTGAGTAGTGGATTATTACACTGGTCAACACACTTTTTCTGGCATAAGGTATTCCAACGGTTTTAAGGTAATTGTGGGGTGCTGATTCCAAATCTGGCATCAGTTTTTGTCTATCGCATCAGGTTTTTGAGATATCAAATATTGCATTTTCAATAAAAACTGCAGAAGAAAAATATTAAATAAATGTGGATATCTACATAAAATGATATTATAAACACACTATCCTAAAAATACAGCACCATATTTTAACACTAAAGCAGTCACTGACTCGCAACAACTTGCAATCATAAGTGACAGAGTTAATTTCGGGTAAAATCAATGAAAATGGGGTATGCCGATAGCGTAAAAATGAGATGTGATAGAGCAAATCTGAGATCAGATTTGGAATCAGCACCCTGAAATTAGTCTAAAACAGCTGCAAAAGTCCAGGCCAGAAATAAATGATTTTTTTTGTTGACCAGTGTTATTAATCCTATGCAACGGACAAAAAAAGGCTTGGGCTTTTAATGTCTGCGAAGACTTACAGGTTACCCAGGGCAGCTGCCTTAAACGAGTGGACGATCCGAGGAAAACCAGACCAGGTGGCAGCCTGATATGCATATCACATTGTGTGTTAACAATCGTCTGCATTTAAAGTCCCTGGTGAAAAGAGGGGTAGAGTGGTAACTGAACTCTGTTGGCAGCCCAGAGCCGATGGGTATTATTGTGGTGCCAACCCTTTTTCTTGTTCGTCCATCAAAGTTGATGATGACCATGGCACGTTTGTCATTATGTTGGGTTTTGATGAGTGCGCAGATGGCTGAAGAGGCCAATCCGAGCCCGGCATTCTCTGTGGCACACTGGACAGGTCAGGGAGGATGTAGAGCTCTGAGGTGCAGCCACACGTCCTTCCTTGGTAGATTTGCGCTGCTGCCTCTTCAAGATGGCACAGGAGCGTCTCCTACTCTCACAGAGGACCGCACCGTCCTGTACTGTTCTTCTCCAGGCAGGTCGGTCCTGTGCTAGGTGCCAACCCACAGAATGACTGTTTACTCAATTTAGTGACCAAGGAGGGATGATGGGATGGGTCATTCCCTGACTTATTTTCTTCGGATTATGAGTGAAGTGCTATAACCACAGTGCCTCCAATTGGGAGTTTGTTTCTATTTAAATCTTCTCATATATGCCAAGAGGTTTAATTATAATTTAATATACCCCACCGCACTGTTATTGTTTACGCTTCAGTGAATGCCATGTTGTTGTGATGCGCTGCCATATGTCAAAGACTTGCAATTGTTCACTGCTGTAGCAAAAGGCTGTTGCAAGCGTTCAGGTCACCATCCGTGGACACTGTGTTAAAGAGTGACCCAGGAGTGAACTCTAATGGGACAATAATTCAGAACCTGAACACTTTCAGCATTTACCATCAGTGATGTGTAACAGAACTCTGCTGATACTCATTTATATATATACACAAAAACTAGAGATTTGTAATCAACAAGCTGCAATGTACTGTATTTATTTAAAATTAACTTTTAAGCTTAGGTTATTTAATTGGACGACAATTACACTGCAGTAAAATACGACATACATTGACTGATTCACCTAAACTTATTTCTTAACTGGATAGAAGAAATTCATTTATTTTATCAGGAAAAAAAGCTTTAAATGCAAACGAAACAGTTTTTTTGTTAATTTTCTCACCGACCACTGCATTTCACAATATTTCACAACATACCCACGAGCACAACCAACGGAAACACAAAGTTGTCTTCATGCAAGACACAATAACAAGTGCTGCACTGAAAGCAAACACGGCATAACAAGACCAACACTTCACCATTCGCCACTAAGTGGCGGCGATATAACCACAGTGCTTGTGCCAAGCTGTATGCACTTTAAGGCCACGTGAAGTGTCGAAGGCCCGCTGGCAGGAGGTCACGGGACAGAACCAGGTGACATGGGTTGACTACGATGACAATAGTGGAACATTTCTAGGAAATATACTGAAAGTTTATATTACTATATTCTGTTATACTGCATACATATCGAAACATCAGATACAACTTTTGCTGTCATGTTAAACTTTGTGGGGGGAAAAACTCATTTATAACAAAAGGTTATTGAAAAATGAATATTTACAGGGAATTCATTGTCTACATTGCCACATGATGCACCAATCTACAAGTTACTTCCACTATGATGTACCTAATATCAATGTTGAACTCTGAACATCTTCAGGCCTGAATACCGTAGTTCTTTCAACCATTATTTCACTAAAAATTGACAGCATGGGAGCTGTTTTGTGCAGAGAATTGGGCCCATTCTCCATTTGCAATTCAAATATGAATTGGCACCATTGATTCGATGAGAACAGAGCCACTACTGCTCATTTATTAGTGATTTATTGTTTTCTGGCTGGACATGCAACATCATCCGTCTTGAAGTGCATTTACATTCTCTTGAAACCACCAGCTAAGGACATTCGGGATATTAATTTGTGTCAATATTTTCCACTTGCGTCATCACATTTCCCAAATATTGATGTTGGCACAAAAGTGATACAAAGAACGAGATGATTCCTGAATAGAAACGAAGCATTTTCCAGTTGACTAGACAACTAATACCCGATAACTACTTATATACTGTACGTGTACTGTATATATGTAAAGCCCACGTACTTTGATTTGACGACTACGGTAAACTTGATGGGAAGAAACGTTTCTCTGCCAGAGGTCCACTTGCAAATCACCTTGTGTGGGTTAATAGCTCTACAGCTCACATTGGGTCTCTCTGGTGGATCTGGTAAAAGCAAATGTAATGCAGCGGTACGTGGGGGAGGGGTGAACATGCACACACAGTTGGAGCAAACATGCTAAATAGAGACTCTCACTAATATTAAATGCAATGCTTTGTTGATGTTAACTGCTGACTTGTCAGCTTGTAATGTTAATTGCTTGTGCAATAATAATTTCCTGGACATGTGTTGATATTCTTTAATGTCACAATGCATTGATGGTAGATCATTTAAACAAAAATAATTCTGAAATCCAGTTAATGATTTGAATGTATATTTATAAACGCAGGATTGATTTGTGTAGCTGGTGTAGCGGCGTGCCACCAAGGGAAGTTAAATGACACTTGCTTGTACAGAGTGCTGGCGTTTTTCTGTGACAATGGGAGGGAGCTCTCGGTTATTTCTGGATTTTTTGTAATCTTGATTTTTGTTTTACTTGTGGCAGGAAAACTCAAGTTTAATGTGGAGCCTTTGTACCAAAAAAAAAGATGGGATACCATGCTCCTTGCCAATGCCTAATGAATATCCCACACACATATAACAATCTGTACTTATTAGCTATACACAGACACAGTGTGTCACTTACATCCAACTTCCAAAGTGACGTTTATCAGTTGTTCCCCACTGACATTGTTGTGACAGCTGTACACTCCGTTGGCCGAGAGAGCCGTGCCCTCAACAGTGATGGAGCCCATTGCGTTTAGAGTGTGGCTCACGCTTGGAGGCAAGGCGCTGCCATTGAGTCTCCACAGCACGCCGCTCTGCACGCTCGAGGCGTTGCAGGGCAAAGTCACTTCGGTTCCAGCTTCTGTAACCACCGCACTGGGATCGCTCTCGCCTGCCAAAAAGGAAAGGATGAACGGATGAGAACTGAAGCACTACGTCTGGGTATAGGTGGCGCGGCCACGCAAATTTGCCTGCTCACGCAACTGTTGTCATAAAAATAAATTCTCTGGAGGGAGCTCTGGAGGGCCTCTCTAAAGCAGTGGGTTCTCAACCGGGGGAATGCGGCCCCATGGGGGTACGTGGCAATGTCCCAGGGGGTACGTGAGGTGATTTATGAATGCGTGAAGTTATATCATACGGCAGAGTCATTGGTGAATGGTCACGTATGAATCTGCCAATCGATGTAAATAACGACGATTCAATTTACATCCAAATGGTAACCTTGAACGATGTGAAAAAAAATTACCATTCTAAACTCATTCATCGTTAACAATATGGTTTCCAGGAGTGACCAGCGAGCGTGGCCAAATTAAGTCACGCATGCAGGAGCGTCCTGTCACGTGTAGTTTAATAGCGCCGGCTGGTGACTGACAGCAGTGGCGACTGTGGTGGACAGACACAGCGCACACGCCGGTGAGGGCGCGAGCACGGTGCGTGTTGGCAGGGCGGAGGAACGAGGGCAAGGGTCATGGAGGACCCCGTCTGGAGGCCCCTGGAATCTGCTGGCGGGTTCGAGAAGGGAGGCGTGGTCAGGGCGGAGCCAGGCCGCGCTGGGAGCATAAAAGAAGCCGAGAGCGAGAGGGGGGGACTCGAGGCTGCCGGTTATCGGTGTGGATTCGTCTCGTCGCCGCTGTCGTTTTCTCGCCGTCGTCGCTAAACGTCTCCGCTAGATGTTGCGCTACGAAGGAGAGTAGTTGGCTATCTCAGTCGGCGCCGTCAGTGTTGGGCGGCTAGTGTTGTATACAGGCCGGGCTGAGCTCCTGTGGAGAGTGTGTGGATGAGGCCGTGGAAGTTGTTAATGAAGACGGTGCCTCCTATAAACTCTGTCTCTGAATCGTTGACAATGCACGTGTAAAATTTGTATTTAAAGCTTTCGTGACCGCAGGGATTCATATGCTTGGTTGTTTCGGTAAAGCCACGTGGAAGGGAAATAATAAAATAATAAAAATATAAAACAATACAAATTATCAACACACCTGATGATGATTGCTTGTGTTGCAGTCGAAACGTCGTGAGAATTTTTATTGTTTAATGTTTTATTATTTAATTATTTCCCTTTTACGTGACTTTACTGAAAGAACCAAGAATATAATACACATGTATTCGCTTGCAGTTACATGCTAGTTAGGAGACCTCACAAAAATGTATAATTGGTTCAAATTTAGATGTTCATGATTCATACATTTATTTCTCAGAACCACGTTGGGTCAGTCAAAGGAGTACTCGGTGGAAACAAAATTCAACAAGGGGTAGAGTAGCCAAAACATGATTGAGAACCACTGCTCTAGAGTGCATAAGGCCTACTCTTCCCCACTGGCTAACCAGACATCTTGGAATAGGGGGGAGTATCCACGTTTTATCCCACCACTCGCGATCATAGACGAACTGTGATCCATAATACTGTGCAGTTTTTTTGGGTTAGATCACGTAAATATATAAATGTGTCATTAAACGCGCCACCACCCGACACAGCCAATTAGTAAGGTTTGTAATGTAAACAGAACATCATGGGACCTCCTTTGCCAGTGCCAAAATATGATAATAGGTTTTTCCCCTTTTTTCTGGCAACAAAACAGGTGTTAAGATGTTTAAACACCAAACTGAAACCTTTTACAAAACATGTCAATTCGTTACTAGTACAACACACCGGTGTGCTGTACTAGTGACGAATTGGCATGTTCAAACCTTACTAATTAGCTGTGCCGGGTGATGGCGGGTTTAACGACGCATTTATATATTTACGCGCTCTAACCCCCCCCCCCCCAAAAAAAAACCTCTATTATGGATGATATTGATCGCGAAAGCCTCCTACGTGTTAAACTGACGAACTGTGGTGATCGCATTGACACCGCTGGGTGGACAGAGGTGGACAGTGGTGGAGTTGGTGCGGGGGGGGGGGGGAAATTCAGAAACTTGCACTGCTTCAATTGCCATGCCGAGACAGTTTCAGTTTAATGTATTTGGTATCGCCCTGTGAGCCATTCGGCTCTTGAATCGGGTGCAACCGCAACAAACAAAATACATGAACAAGAAAACATCTTAAAGTGACTATGCGCAAACAGAAAAATCCAGGAAAAAACTGCAAAGTCTTCCAGAAAAAAAGCACCGTACACCAACGATGTGCAAAAATCCCAGTGGGATGCAAGTGAAACAACAACAACAACAACAAACACAAGCCAACTTAGATTAAAGCCATCATTCTAACACCGTACTAGTGACAACAAACTGACGACCTCTGGATTGCAAGTCCATTGTGGTCATCGTTACACCATGGACGTCTTCCACGTCTGGGTTAATATGCTGAAAGGCAAACTTCATGAACTCTGCAATGCTCATAGTTTCCATGAATTGTTAACTGACAATTTGAGTCGGTGGTGTATGACTCGTGGCTCCATACTGAGTAGGCTACAAACTCCGTTTTGGCTTTTTCCAGTCTTAAGTAACATGTGCAAGTGTATTGATAATGCACCAGGGTAGATCCCATTAGACCACTACTTCTAGGAAATTGCATGGACTGCATGTGCCCGTCTGGTGACACTAATTCATTAAACCCCCGTTTGTTGCATTCTATTTACTCAAATAATTACCATGTACAAGCATTTGGAGACTGAGGTGGAGTTTTAGCCTCTCCAAACGGGAGAAAATTGCCACCACTGTCAGTAAGTAAGCAACATTGCTCAAATTTGTGAGCAGTTAAGTTCAGGTGTAGAACCCTGTTGAGTACCTATGCAATGAAGTCGATTTCAATTTGGGTTCAGACTGAGAAATGTATCCGTTAAAACTATTATCAGTTGCTACGTGAACCAACCTTTCCTTTGGATGTAGTATAGCAAGTGATTTTGTGATCTATCTGACCGAAGTTTGATGATGTCCGCTCATAGGTAGGCTTTCTCCAACTCACATCCCCCCTCTCCCATTGAAAAAAACAACAATAACAACATCAACAGGACAAACATTCAGAGTACAACCCTCCTTAAAAAATGTCGAGACTCATTCGAGGAATTTCCTGGATACATACATCATTACAACGACTTCAATTACGATAGCGATTGACAAATGGGTCTAAATTAGTTTTCGGGTTGTCATTGTCTGGCATGACCAATGTATCAATTTGCATTTCCACATTAAACTCTGAAGTGAATTAGACACATTGTAGTACGGCCGATCGTCCTGTACTCAAATCGCTCTGAAGTCCAGTTTACCAAGTCCACGAAATTGAATGACAGTACAAAAACAATGCAAGACAACATTTATTTTTTATAGCTGCAAAAAAGGAATAGGAACTTAACTCCTGTTATCAGTTGTTTGTTATTGTTAGCCGCATGGTGGTAAATCAGATAAGTGACATTTTCCACGCTTTGTATAATGCTCCACTAATAAGCTAAAAGCAGCAATGTCTGCACATTCACAGAGATCCACAGGGAAGGATTAAGCAGAAGCAGGCCATTACACCGCTCAGTAACTTATTCACACACACAACACATTTCCACACAAAAAATAGAACGACATGCAACACACATCATTCGATAGCTCAACTAATTGATTTTGTTTAGAAATAAAAAAAGAAATCACCTGTAAACCAGGCAGAGGAACACAGAATCGGCGAACACACACACACAAGTTAGAACCATCACATGGGCTATTAGGAAAAGTAATCGTGCTTGAGCAGGACACGCCACTAATAATGATAACAATGTGAATTTGTAAGGTCCATTTCACCCGTAGGTCACAATGTGCCATGTGTGGAAGGCAGAACATAAAACAGAACCAGGGCAACATACATACAACTTAGGGTGAAGGTCAATTTAAAGAGGTGAGTCTGATTACCAAAGGGAAAACGTTCCATAGTCTGGGAGATGGACAGTGCAGGCAAAACCCAGATCACCCCGATCACCCCAGGAACCTCGACCTTGAAGTACTAAAAATTAAGGTGATCCGAACATATCAGGGACCTCGCCGGAGAATATAAATGGTTCAGTTTCCTGCAAATATTGTGGAGCTAACCCATCAAGACCCTGGCAGTTCAGCAGCAGGATGTTATAGTCCACTCAGAACTTGACCGGTAGCCAGGGGAGAGGCAACAGAACAGGTGCGATGTGCTCGAATGGATGATGGGCCAGTGGTGGTCAAAACTAACGATGGCATTACAGGCAGAGAAACAAAAAAGACGCACGTGAGGATGTCTGCCGTGGAGATGGAATTATGAAATCACAAGCTAGATGGATTGCTGAATCGTGAGACTCTGATAGATGTGATGGCCTTAATCCAGCAGTGGATCAATCATGGGTGATTATAATGATATACCAGCTGAAATTATATACCAGCAAAGTGTGTGCAATGTATTTTTCTGATGTTATGCAACAATTGTACACGCTGGACATTACTTGTGTTGTATTTACTCTGATATATACCATCATCATCATCAACGTAGCAATAAATGTGTTTAACAATTAAAACACTCACCTTTTTCTCTGCAGATTTTCAGACGGGGTTCTACACACCGATTCAAGCATAACGCTAAAAGCACCATGACTGTGAATTCACGACAGTAATTGATATTCATGTTTTAACCGTGAGGATAAATAGGTCTACAACACTCCGCTGTGTTTAGTTACTTTGAGCATTCTGTCCTCCATTTCTAGTTAAGCTCACAGCAGCGTCGATGTTGCTAGCGAGCTAAGGCTGCAGTTTTCATGCTCGTTTCATTAATGACGGCGTCACTTTTTAGTTCTGCCTCCTTAAAACGCAAATAACGCGGTAGTGGGCAATAAAACTGTCGATACGGCTAAATGTGCCCTCACAAGGAGGAACCTAGAAGCCAGTTCGAACGGTCGACTGACCCTTAGACTCTCTGGCTTTGCCACATCCGCATTGAAAACTTAAACTCCGGAAAAAACTGGACACTCACAAACGGTTCTTGACAGGAGCTGAAACTTAATATAAGATCTGAAAAGGAGGGGGGAGGGAGATAATGTCATAAAAAAAAAGATATGATTGTTTATTTGACAAAACAAATTGTACTGTATGTTCTATTTCAGTGGCTTTGCCTGGACGGCTGATTTAATGTTTTCTCAATTGTGGGAGATCTGACCAGGGAAATTACGTAAATGTCCTTCGTTTGTGAAGGATATACAGCAATTATACTGACTGTACTGTAGTTTGTAAACAAAATAATTAATTGCCTTATCCCCTCAAAAATGTATTACGATTTTAAATAAATCTGTGGCTCCAGATATCATTTCAATCACACTATTGTTTGCAAAACAAGCAAATTGAGCAGTTATTGTTTGGCATCGGTTTGTTAAATATAAATTAAACATTTGATTGTAGTACTTCAAATGGCTTATACATCATCACGCGCTGACCAGTGGGATGAGCTGTATAGCACAGCCCCATGCCTCACACATCGTGATGAAGCTTTCGACGAGCAGTAGATTGCCAAAAGTGCTGTAATTTTTCTCTTACGTGAAGAGTTTTCTTTGGAGATGATTTGTTTTGCATTTGGTTGTCCTTGCAAGGGACTTACCTGAGGGGCCGTCCATAAATGACGTCACGCACCTGGGGGGGGGGGAGGGTCAGACATTTGTGACGATGTGTGACGACGGGGGGGGGGGTGAGAAATGTGACGCCACATCAAAATGGGCAATTTTAAATAAATATAGACAATACGTTCTACTTATCTTCTTTGTTCTTTCGGTAAAGTCACGTAGAAGGGAAATAATAAAATAATAAAAATAAAACATAATAAAATACTGCAGTCACGAAAGCTTTAAATCGAAACGTTCTACTGAATTAAATACACTTGTTTTAATATAAATGTTTTCTCCTACAATATCAGAGTGCAGCGCCACATTAAATACGCACTACAATGACAATAGTTTAAAGCGATTTGAAGCATGTTAAAAAAAAATTTGGGGGGGGAAGGGGCAGAGCATATTTGAGGGGGGGTCTGACTTTTTGTGACGTCATGTGACGAGGTGGGGGGGGGGGGCAAACATCGTCAAAAATTGCGTGACGTCATTTATGGACGGCCCCTTACTACTCACCTGAAAACGCGAATACGCGAAGCTCCAAACAGGTCGCCCACACAATTCAATTATTCCTTGTTCCCGTTAAGAATGATATTGAATCTTCATAATGAAATTGCAGTTCCCAGCTATAAATTATGAAATCGCTCAGCTCTAGATGAAATTAAACAAATTAATTGCCAGTGCAAATAATTGTATTTCTCACGTAAAATGTACATTTTAAGCTGTACTTTATACTTCAACACAATAATATATATTTGGTTTTATGTTGTTATGCGTCTAGTTGGGTCTAAAGAGACTTTATCAGATATTAGATATCATGAAGAATATCACATGCAGCGTCACCAGGTCACTCAGAGAAATGGTTGTCTGTATCCCTAGCTAAAATAAAACCGATATGCAATAACTTACGCGCACCAATATGAGTTTACTTTGAGTATAGCTCCACCTAAGGGTTAATTAAAGGAAATTCAAAACTTTGTTTCGGCTTACCGAAATGATAATTATGTTACTTGAGGTGGAGATGATGGGTGGCTTAATGGTTTGTGGTTAGCATTAGTGCTTCCAGAGAAATGCCTTGTGTTGGGGATAGGTATGCATATTTTGACAGCCCAACATTTCTATAGATTAGTGTTTCTCAAAACCTTTCAGGGCCACGACCCCCTTTTTAGAAGCAAACATTTTTGCAACCACCTATTCAAATACTTTTTTCTGTAAGATGGATAGATTGATAAATGTATTCATCTATAGCCATATACCCAGGCACACGTATACATGTGCACATAAATGCAGATAAGCAAAGCACACACACTGGGAACTTACACACGCAACGAGAAGAGAATTGAGGAGGGGGGAGACGTGCAGAGAGAGAGAGCAAGAGAAAAATGGACGTGAGAGATAGGGGGAGAAAGATGAGGAGAGAGACACAGAGAGAGAGAGACGCATGGAAAGATACTGGCCATGACACCGTCCGTTGACTTCATAATCCCATGGCTTTCACCCTGTTTAAATATTACAGCTGTACACTATCAAACACTGAACCTTCAATCCACACTGAAAGATACAGATTTACTTTCCCCCTGGATCAACAGCCGTCTCATTTCCTTACTAAATAAAATGTATATAATTAAAAATGGTATGAGATAATATATAGAAACACTTGAATAATTGTCATCAATCCGAAATTTTAACTTATGAATATTACTGTTTCTGATTCTTATATATATTTTTCTTGATTGTCCCTTTGACAATTGGATACAGTACTATAAATACAGAATTACACCTGCTGATTAAACCAATCTGTGCAAATGATATAATCTAAAGCCAAAAGTTGGAGTTAATGAGACTGTGCAGAAGTGTGTGTTCTTGCTGTGGGGGCATTTTGCATTTACAAACAATTGCCAACTCAAAGTATTTTTAGGTGAAAAAAAGTGGAATACTTGGCCATGCCAGGTGAGTCGAGATGTCAAAGTAAGATTGCCTTTGCTTGTGGGAATCAACATTAAGCCTGGGACATTAGGTCTCAACTCTCATTAGGACATGGAAACAAAGACATAGATGTGAGCTTAAATTGAGTAGACCTTGAACTTGCAAGCAAGCAGGTCATCGTGACCCATCTGAGCTGGGCCGGCAGTGGTGAGCAAATAATGTTTCCTGTACCACTAACATTTTCCAGAATTGTTCAATAACCATTTGTACACGAAAGGCTGTTATGAATTTACGAGAATTTTTTTTTGCCAACAAATAAGGAAAACAATGCAGATCACATCATCATAACTAGATAATAAAAAGCTCATGTGTGTTTTTAAAAATCGAGTTGATTAAAACATATTCCTAGGGCCTAGTAAACTCTGGTGCTCGATGTCATCACTTAACACGCCTAACTCTTGATTACTAACAATACATACTATGCGAAAATTGTATTTTTTATCAGGGTGTGTGAATACTTTTTTCCAACTTGAGCTCAAACACGTTGTGTTATTGGAGGGTCTAAACACCACTATCTATTACAATTACTCTGAACATTTGGCAGAAGTAAAGTTATTTAGTGCCAATTTTACGAGAACTCGAGTGTTATTGTTGTCACTGGCAGCACGTGGTGTCTTGTACCAGTAAAAGTTACTGGGTCCAGCCTGTTTGATGGAATGCATGCTCGTGAGAATAAAAAATTACTTGGAAAATAAGAACTCGTCATATCCTTTCAGAATGAGAATGCTAAATTTCGATTTAAAGCTTTCGTGACTGCAGGGATCCATCTTCTTGGTTCTTTCGGTAAAGTCACGTAGAAGGGAAGTAATAAAATAATAAAAATAAAACTTAATAAAATAATATAATAAAATTATTATGTTTTATTTTTATTATTTTATTACTTCCCTTCTACGTGACTTTACCGAAAGAACCAAGAAGAAGAATGAGAATGCTATTGAAGCGAAAATGCAATCTTGTACAGATTCAACAATGATTAAAGACATTATAGATTTGAAGCTTTCGTGACTGCAAGGATTCATACTCTTAGGTTTTTTCGGTAAAGTCACGTAGGTAAAAAAAAATTCAACTAATAAAAATAAAATAAAAATCACGACGTTTCGGAGGCAACACAAGCTTCCGTCTTCAGGTGGAACCGTCACAGCACGATTGCTGTATCAAGTAAAGTATCTTTACTGATTATAAACGTATCTTTACTTGAGTTGAACGCACCCCCTAGTGACGAAACATTAATGTTGCGTTCTAGTATCCAAAGATGATAATCTTCATAGTTCTCCTTAACTCTACAAAGTGGCCGCAAAACGCCGCGGAAATTGCGTCTCGTTCAACAAAATACTTTCAATGGAATTCTGTCCGTTTTGTCATTTTCAAGGGCATTAAAATGCATTGAAAACGTCACTGAAGATGTTGTTCATGTGATCACCCAATAGTATATCATTCTGTATATTGAGAAATGTGACGTCACATCAAAACGCGCAACTTTAAATAAATATAGACGACACGTTCTACTTAATGAAATAGACTTTTTAATACATGTTTTCTCCTACAACATCAGAATGCAGCGCCACATTAAATACGTATTACAATGACAATAGTTTCAAGCGATTTGAAGCATGTTTTATTTTTTTGAGGGGGGGGGGGCAGAGCTTTGTGACGTCATATTTGAGGGGGGGGGGTCTGAATTTTTGTGACGCCGTCTGACGATTGGGGGGGGGGGGTCAAAAATCGTCCAAAATCGCGTGACGTCATTTATGGACGGCCCCTTACTTTGAAGAGCTTTCGGATCGTGGTGTCTGTGTGTGTGGGGGGGGGGGGTTGTGGGGAGCGGTGGTGTAGTGGTCAGCGCTCTGCGCTACGAACCCGGCGATCCGAGTTCGACTCCCGCTCACGGCCAACATCTGAACCGGTACTGGGCCTCCCCTAGGTCGACTCAGCCTCAAATCATTGCCTGGTGCGTTAAAACATCGCCACTGGGGAGACAAAGGCGGCCGGGCGTGGTGCTGGCCACCCACCCCCCTCGTGAGCCGTTCCGGCCTCAATAGGTGCTCGCTAACAGCACTTGCCCCAACAGTCTGTTAAGGCTATACGGGGGATCTTTGTCTTTGGGGGGTTGTAGTATTGTGTTATTACATAATGTTGTGGATTTGCTCTCCAACACTCCGGCGTTGCTGTAATAGTGACGAATTGGCACGTTCTGTTTACGTGACAACCTTTAACCAATTGGCGGTGGCGGGTTTAACGACACAT